CCCCCCAGTTTTGTACACCTAGAAACGCCACTGCTTATGACATGCTCAAAAACTGATATTTCTTAAATCTGAAACTAGGCTTGTTTGAGACAAGCGAGACCTGCACAGTTGCGATCAACGTCTTGCTAGTGCGTTGCATGATGGTTAGTCATTTTGTCCGACTTGCTCTGGAGGCTCGCCTACATGAGACGTTGAAATCTCGCGGGACAAAGACGCCTGCAGCCTTGAGAGCGAGGCGCGGCGGCACAGTTCCTCTCCACGGGCTGCAGAAGCGAAATGCTTGATGGGAAACGACTCGCTGGTATCTCGAGCTGAGCGCTCATTGGTGGTTTTTACCACGTGCTGCTGATGAAACTCTCCAATTGGCTCGGCAAAAGTTTGTTGTTGTTTTGTGTCAGTTTTACGTCACCACATCCATTCCCATTTTTCATCATTGTTCAACAATGTTTATCATCATGAAATTAATATCTATATATTTTATACTATACTTGCACTGCTTACCGTTTTCATACTTTATATATCTTAGCATATTCATACACACTGTTCATACTGCTCACAGGCTGATATCTAGTGTATTCATACCCCTCACTGTTTATTCATCATTCAATTCATTCTATATGTTATTCTGTAGATTGTGTACATTACTTTTCACTTTACTGCTTGTTGCACCTGGTTAGAAGCTAAACTGCATTTCGTTGTCTCAGTACCTGTAATATGTGCAATAACAATAAAGTTGAATCTAATCTTGAGCAGGAACAAATGTATTTACTTAGTACATATCTGACATTACGATTAAACACATGTGTGGATTCTTTATAAATGCAAACCGAGTCAAGCCGACTCCGGAGGTGGCGGTATGCACCTTAAAGTTGTTTGCAATCCGCCAAAAAAACGAGAGAAGAAGAAGACGAAGCCGACTCCGAGCTGTCCGACTTCAGGCGAGCTTTTTGAGACCTCCCCCGGCTGCAATCGGCTATTCTCGTCTACTTTTGAGGCGAGCCGCAACGCGTCTCAAACAAGCCTACTGTCTTTTCACCGACATCTCTTCACCTGCACAAGTGGCCGTATCAAAGCCGTGATTGGTCAGATGTCGATTCATTGCAACGGTGTCGGATTACAGACGTGCTCCCCTTGTCACCTCTCACTCTCGCGGGGGGTGCGCGGAGAACTGCGCACAGCAGCTGAGACCCTCTGGGCGGGGCCCACTGCGCAAGGCGGGGCCCCATGCAGCCTGCGTGATTGGCCTGTAGGGAGGGGCGGCCCTGCTCTTCTGCATGTCCAGATCATTAATAGTAACAATCAACTGATTCTTATTATGTATTACACTTTCAAAATAATTGATGCTGACATTGTCAGCCCACTGACATGGTTTGAAATCGATATATATTATCCAATTTGTGACCCCCCATAGGACTTAAAAAGCACCATAACTAGATCATGAAAATCCCAAAAATCTTGGGGGGTATCCCCCGAATTCCCCTAGCATGTTTGGACCTCGTATTTAGGAAATCCTGGATACGGCCCTGACTCAGATTAGTTTTCAAATGTAACACCAGCTGAATATACTGATTTTTTTTTTCTGATTATGTAACACCGTTACATGTATTCCGTTACAACCCAACCCTGTGTAAGGGTGAGTGCAAACATTTTCGTTAAAACTAGTACCTGAGTGCAACGGAAGTTGAAGCTCCTGTGGCGGAGTCTTCCAGAGCCTGGAGGCGAGCATCGATAGCTATCATGGAGCTAGCCAGGGATTGCAGGGAGCCGGCCGCGCTACTCTCCTAAGGGGTGTGACACTCCCTGCCTGGCGAGCCTGAGAAGGGGTGGATTTTTGGAGGGGGACGGGATCCTGGAGGGCTCGACTTCCTGCCCTTTTTTACCTCCTCGTCCTGCTCTCTGGGGAGCTGACTGGAGCTGCTGCCCCGGACTGGGGAGCTACGCTGGAGACCTGGTCCGAGAGCTCTCGCAGCTGAGAGAGAGTGAGGCCTGGGGCTGTGGGAAAGTCCTGCTGCAGGAGCCGAGCGATGAGGAAGTCTGCCTCTGTTGATAAGCCGCTGTGGGGAGCCAAACCGGGATCGGAGACTTCCAGAGAAGGTTCGTGTTCCGAATTGTCCGAGTTGGACATCTTGAGCTAATTGTTTCTTACGGTTTTTCTCACGAGAAGGAGTATTGTATTGCAACTACCATTGCGTGTGATCATCTGCAATGACAACTGACAGGGAGGAAGAGCAGGCATTTAAGGAATTTAGCATGTGCAGCGATTGGCTGCTGAGGGGTGACGCCCTCGTATTTAATGAGGGGGGAAGGGAGCCATAGAGTGACGTGTAAGTGACTGGTGTTAGGTCTTCCTTATTGAACTTGCGCTAAAGCTTTCATGTGTTAGTGAATTTGTATATATTCTCCTTTAGAATGGCAGGAAATTAGTATTCAAATTTTGATTGAATTTGTGGTCCCCCCCCAATGTAGACTCCATGGTTACGGCCTTGCCTTTAACACAATGCAAATGTGTTTCTTCTATATTTACATTGCCCGTTGTCCAATCTTTTTAGTTTACGAGGCTCTGCTTGAGAGAGAATTTGTCCTTTTTGAGGTTTTTGTTCAAAGCGCTTTGGATCCAGGATACGGCAAATTAAAATATATGTTATATCTCACAGGAAAACAGCACAGTGAAAGCCTTAGGGGTATAATGGCTCCAAGAAGAATGAAGGTTGAGAACCACCACCATCAATTATTGAGATGAAGTTTGAGAAGATGAACATGCCATGACTGTTACTCATACACTCTGCTATTTACTGGCACCATCACCTCATATGCATCCTCTTCTCAGTAAAGTACGCAAGCATGAATGTGCCCAAACACTTTTAACATATTTTCTGCACTTCATTTAATGTTACTTGCATCACAGCAGCTCCATTTGCAACATCAACAAGGACAAATATTGAAAACAAGACACAAAGGAACAGCATCAGCGTGATCTACTTTTCAATGTCACTTCTTCATGCCTCTAAGTGCCAGGAAATGTGACCCCATCCCTTAAATGTGACCCCATCCCTTAAATGTGACCTCAGTAGAGTACGACAACACGTGCTTTGGTGTGTCGGACACAAACCATGCATTTTGTTTACTGTTGTTGTTGTTTATTTCAAATATTTTAGCATGCATACACACACACAGTACAGCCAGTAGACTGTGGAGAGAAACCATAGCACAGGAGATGAAGCTGGGCATTGTGGAGTCTTTTATTTTTTATTTATTTTTTAAGGAGTGCAGATTTAAATGTATAATGTAAGAAAACAGAAAAGAAGAAACCAAGATATTTAAGATACAAAATGTGTCCTCTAAAATTATAGGATAGGTTTACAGAATAGTAAAGTTAACACATGCTGATTTAGTTTAATACTCTAATTAAAAACATGTTTGTGTGATTAATAAATAATGTCTTCAACTGCATTCAAAAAATACATCTTATAATATATACATTTCTATTTTAAGATGAATTGTAACAGTGTAATCCTGCTTGTAATCCCCATTTCTTTTTAGAATGTAATCTGATTACATCTTTCATTAATGTAACAGTAAGGGAATACAGTTAGCTTTTTTTGCATCCTGATTAGGTAATCTGATTTCAATTATTATTATTTCTATTATTATATGATTGTTATATTATTATTATTATTATATTATTATTAATGTAATATTAGTATTATTATGTTAATATTATTGTATTATTATGCATGTATTATTGTTAATATTATATTATTATTGTTGATGTATTATTATTCACATCATATTATTATATAAGTGTTATTATTATTTTTATTATGATATGTCTTTATTGAACAATTAATTTCAAAAAGAGAAGAGATGCTATATGCCAGATAGTTTCCATCTGTAGTCGAACAATCAACATTAAAATATCTCCTATCACGCTAACAATTAAAACAGATCAAAATGCAGGTGTATCAAATATTAAAAACTAGTACTTTATCAATATAAATATCATTTTAAAATTCATTTAAATCTCATATTACAGAATGTTGGCAAGACTGGTTGCCTAGAATGTATTTTTTGCACGAAGGGAAAAAGTGTGAACATCTTAACATGTTTTAAGATCAGCTGGAAGCATAATGTTTGATGGCCGTAAAAGAGAGAGCAGATATAGTCTCATTACTTTAACCCTCCTGTTGTCTTCGGGTCAAATCTGACCGATTTACTACTTTCATCAATCATAACTTTTTTGTTTTACATTCGATTGTATCAAGGCTTCATGATATCCTTCACAGTAGAGATTTGAACATATACAATGGCTGATCACCACTTTAGTTGGATTTTGGATGATTTAGTCAACTTTGAAACACCCACGGTGTACCCGGTCTGACCGCCATAAAGAAAAGGAATTAGTAACCATCCGGATCTCACACACACACACACACACACACACACACACACACACACACACACACACACACACACACACACACACACACACACACACACACACACACACACACACACACACACACACACACACGAGATGTGTTACCCCCCCTTATGTGCCCATCCCCCCATGTGAATCACACCTGGCACACACACCACACACACAGAACAATAACACATTTCCCGCTCTTATGTGCCCCTCCCCCACATGGATCACACCTGGCACACCAATACATGTTCAGTGTCTGTTCTTTGTATATTTACTGCAGTTCTTCATGTACACCAGTAGTCTGATACAATATGTACAGTTTTGAAAGGGTGTTAAATGAAATGTGGTGATGATTAATGGTTTTTGTGTTAATGTAATAGCAGTTAAAACAGGACCGGTCACATTTGACCTCGAACACCAAAGTAAGGGGGGAACGAAGACAATAGGAGGGTTAATGTCCCACGTTCAAACATCTGTCTCTTTTGTGTTCAGGCACTGAAATAGCTCCAATTAGAGCTTGTAAATTAATCCTTTTTCCCTAGAGGAGAACATCAATGAGCAAGAGTTGTTCAAATGCTTTACAACGATGACTTTAATATTATGACAGGTAGAAAATTACACAACAGAATTAGTTCACATAAAAAGAAGAATACAAATTTATACTGACTGGTATTTCCAGTAATGTGCCTGAAGTCATATTAAGTAAGTGTTATGATAAATCATAAGTCCATGTTTATATAATGTCTTGTTTCAAGTGGCCAAAAATGACGTATAACATATTACATATTTGACTAAATACACAAAAACAAAATCTAGAACTTGAGATATGCAGGCTTTTTGCTGAAACCACCTCATCTTTAAAAACGCAACTAAAATGACATTAAATCCTGATAAATGACATTGACGACGTCAGCCATTGTGATAGAACAGGATCTGACAACATTATGTAACATTAGTTTACATCCACACACATACAATAAAGAGAGAGGGACAAAATGCTAATGATGAAGCAGTGTCTTACTCCTTTTACAAGTAATGTAGACGATACAGAGGTGTTAACTGATTTGAGACCAGTGTTTTCTGTGGTCTTTAAAGAAGTAATGAACTCAAGTGTGTTCGCGGTACAGGGGTTATGATGAGAGGAGCCCAGTTTGTTCCATTGTTGTTCCATTGAAGGCAGAAGTATGGATACATTTTCTCTGTAAAGTGGAAGCCGGTATAAGAATGTATTTGTGACTTAGAGTCCACGTCGTAGAAAGAAATCACTCCCTGATCATAGTCCACAAAGACGCCCACCTTCTGAAGCTCTTCTCTCAGTGTCATTTGAACTTCTGGTGATGTACATGCATAGTATGATCCCTCACGAAACTCAATGGCCCAGCCACCATATTCTGCTGACATAGCTATGACCTCTTTTCTTTCATAGGACTCTCTCACCACTCCAACAATCCACTGAGTTTTTTCCTTCACTTGCACCTCATAGTAAAACGTCCCTGCTGTAAACCCCTCCTTTGACAAAACTTCCGGATACATTTCAAATCTCTTTAGATTGGAGGGAAGAATCTGCTCTGTGTCTGCATCTTCCACCTGTTTCCCATCCTGGCTGATGGTCAGTGAGCTATGTGCTGTGTCGGGGTCAAAGGTCAAGTCCACTGCATGTTCTCTCATTCTTTTCATCTTGATCTCATTTTGAAGCTCCTCCACTATCTGATCAGCGGTCTGTTTCAGCAGACCCACAGCACGCCTCACTGCCTGGAGGGACAGATGGCAGTGGACACCGACGTTGGTCCAGTCCTTGTTTAAAGGAGAGCGCAGGGTTTGGAAGGTCTGAACACATTGATGGTGATCCTCAGACTGTGACAGCTGCTCCAGGTGGCTGCTCCTGCTCTGGAGATCAGCAACGTCCATCCTCAGATCTGTGAGGAAGCCGTCAGCCTTCTGCTTCGTTGCTCTGTACCTCTCCTCAATCCCCTCAACAAGCTCCGCCTGGTTTCTCTGGAGGGAGCTGATCAAGTCGCTGAAGACCTGCACACTGGCTTCTTTCTCTCTCTCTGCTTCTTTCTGCCTCTCATCAACTGAGCTTTCTATCTCAGCTATCTTCTCGGACCGGGATTGAATCATCTGTTTGAAATTTGCCATGGTCTCGTCTTTTATTGCCAACACTACTTCAAATTCTTCCTCGATTGGGACGACATCGTGACTCTTGTGATGGGTTTTCATACACAAGACACAAACACAGGCCTGGTCAGTCCTGCAGTACAGTTCTGTTATCTTGTTGTGCACTTTGCACATCCTGTCGTCAAGATTGTTCACCGGGTCTAACAGTGTGTGGCTCTTGAGAGCAGCAACTCTCTGGTGTGGCTCGAGGTGCACTTCACAGAAAGACACCAAACACGTCAGGCAGGATTTAACTGCGTTTCCCTTCATCTCAGAGCAGATATCACAAAGAACGGCGTCTGTTCCAGGAAGTGGGGGGTCTGATGAGGCTTTGATTTGAACTAACGTCTTAAGCTCAGCAGCTAACTCAGAGACAAAGGTGTTGACGTGTAGTTCAGGTCTTTGAGAGAATGTTCTTTTGCAGAGTGGACACTGGCAAATAGCACTGCCATCCCAGTACTTGTGGATACATGCAGAGCAGAAATTGTGTCCACATGGCGTTGTAACTGGCTTAGTGAACACTTCCATGCAGACGCAACATAGGAACTTCTCCTCGGACAGCAGACTTCTAGCAGTTGCCATATCTGTGCAAAAAGTAATACTACAATTACAACACTTATAATAAAATAATCCGCCATAAAAGTAGTTCATATTCTTCCTCTATAAAATTATAAATCTCTTACCTGTAAAGTAGCAGGTTAAAAAGCAGCTGTGCTCTTTGAAAGCTTGTCCTGAACTCCTGGTTGACTTTCGTTTCAGCAGAAGTCCTTTCACCCTCGTGCTCTGAGATGGGTCTGGCTGCAGACCGCAGCAAGGAGGCGGATCGTATAGGGGCGTTTCCTAAAGGGTTATGAACCCCGCCCCCACGTATTTCTTAAAGGTATAGGACGCTCTCTGTTTCTCATTTATTTTTAATGCTTTGAATGAATCATAAACGAACTTTGAAAAATAATAATTATAATTAATTTGCATAAAGAATGAAGAGTATACAACCCACAGAGAAGACAAATTCATAAATTGTAGGCATATCTGGGATTTTCTTCTTCTTCTTCTTCTTTTATTTAATGGCGAATCGCTTCCACTTGGAGCATATATCGCCACCTACTGTTGAGTTATTAAATGTTCATATTAAATCCTTGTCCTCAGACCAGTGCTTTTGAGGAATTTGAAGATCAGCTTGTTTGCTTTATTTCTTGATTTACTTTCGTATATTGACTTGAAATCCATATCCTTGATGTTGAGTTGTTCCAGTGCAGTTTTCAGAATGAATCTTTGTCTGTTATAATCCGGGCAGCTAAAAGATACATGATGTATTGTCTCTGGTTGTTGGCAACCATCACAATTGCCATTTGGATGTTTTCCAATCAGATGCAGTGATGAGTTTAATCCAGAGTGACCCAATGTTATCCAGCTGTTAATGCTCTGTTCTCTTCTACTACTCCCCCAAGTGCTTCCTGTTCCTACTTCCCTTTGTATCTGGTATGTCTTCCTTTGGTGTTACTGTCCCATAGTTTTTGCCATTGTTGCTTGATAACCACTTTTGTAACAGATTTGACTTCTGCTCTACTGATGAGTACCATTATATCAATCTGGTTTGCTTTCAAACCACATTTTGCCAGTTGATCCACTACTTCATTCCCTCTAATACCCACATGCGCTGGAACCCACACAAATTGAACAACAATTCCCAGATGAACTAACCTAAACATGATGTGTACAATTTCATGCCAGTTTCAACGCAATGTTTGCGATTTATAAAATACTAACTTGACGGGAAAATGTGCGGTCCTCCACGCAAACTCTAACTCATACGTGACCCCATCCCTTAAATGTGACCACTCGTACGCACAGGCTGCAGTGGAGACGCTGCGGACAGCTGATCGACAGCTGGGACACAAACCACAAAAACATAATTCAGATCCAGTCGTCATGACTATACCCACTGAAGTGCTAGTGAGATAGCCATAATCTCTACTGTATATACTGCGATGTGATCACTCGTTCGCTTTCCCACTTTGACCTTTAATTCAACATAAAATACACAACTAGTTTGACAATTTTCTGGATTTTTGGATCCAACAGTAAATATTTTTACAAAGTGCCCATATTGTTCATGTAGAACAGTGTTCACATAAGCCTGTACATTGATTTTCATTGAATGTAACCGTTTCAATAGTGATACATCTACTACAGGTTGAGGTAGCAACCATGGTGGAACAGCTGATAACAACACCGTCGGACTAATACTCCATTCTTTAACTTTGAATTCCTTACATATTTCCGAAACACAAAAACTTTCTTTTTTTATTTTGTTACTTTCCCAACTTGTTTGTACAGTTTGTTTAGTAGGGTGAGTATCTTCATGGCCCTGTAGATTTGCCCAGTAATGAACAATCAACTGTTTTCTCCTCAAAGAAATAGGTATTTCTCCGACCTCTACCTGAAGTGCCGACACTGGTGTAGATCTGACTGCCCCACAGCATATCCTTAGTGCTTGTGCCTGGACTCTATTTAATTTTTGAAAAGAAGAATATGCAGCTAAACCATATACTATTTCAAACTGGAGAGACGTGATGTAAGGAATACATATTTATTGTTTACACGTCATATGAATGAAATGATTGCCATGATAATACAAAAGGAGAATGGAATGGTGTTTGGCGATTAGGCCCCGGTTTGCAGGATAATCATTCAGGAGGGAAATAACCGCTCCGATGAAATCCCCGGGGTCTAGACACTGGTGGTGGTGATGAGTGGGACCGGTCTGAAGAAGGAAGTTTAGCTTTGTCCTGGAGGAGACGGGAGGCGAGAGGGGTGGAGGCGGGTTGCGTGTATAGTCACCTGAAATGACAACTGACAGGGAGGAAGAGCAGGCATTTAAGGAATTTAGCCTGTGCAGCAATTGGCTGCTGAGGGGTGACGCCCTCGTATTTAATGAGGGGGGAGGGGAGCAATAGAGTGACGTGTAAGTGACTCATGTTAGGTCTTCCTTATTGAACTTGCGCTAAAGCTTTCATTAGTCCGTATTCTATGGCTGATCTAATTAAGGCTGTGTATACATTCCTCAAAGCAGCTTTATCAGCCCCCCACATAGTGCCTGCCAACCACCTCATAACATTTAAAACTCTTTTACATTTATCTACTACTTTATCAATGTGAGTACTCCATGTGATTCTCTCGTCCAACCATATTCCCAGAAATGTAAATGTCTTCACTTTCTTTAGATCTTGTCCATAAAGTTTTAACCTAACCTCCTCACCTATCCTTTTCCTCGTAAAAAATAAAGTTCCAGTTTTTTCCACCGACAATCTAAACCCCCATGTCAGAGACCAGCTTTCAATTTCTGTAATGGCTTCCTGAATCTTAGCTACAATATAATTTACATTTCTGCCGCTTTTCCAAATAGCTCCATCATCTGCAAAAAGTGACTTACCAATATCAGATCCTACTTGTGTGTATATATCATTTATCATGATAGAAAACAAAAGAGGACTAATTACACTCCCCTGCGGGGTTCCATTTTCAACTTCATGCCTTCGAGAATATTAATTGCCAACTCGGACTCTGATGGCACGGCCAAACAAAAAATCCATAATCCAATTATATACATTACCTCCCAGACCCATAATGTCCAGTTTTATTAATAATCCTTCCTTCCACATCATATCGTAAGCTTTTTCCACATCAAAGAATACAGCTACAACACACTCCTTATTCGCTTGTGCTTTCCTGACTTCAGTCTCCAGGCACAGCAGTGGATATGAAAGCTTTAGCGCAAGTTCAATAAGGAAGACCTAACATGAGTCACTTACACGTCACTCTATGGCTCCCTTCCCCCCTCATTAAATACGAGGGCGTCACCCCTCAGCAGCCAATTGCTGCTCATGCTAAATTTCTTAAATGCCTGCTCTTCCTCCCTGTCAGTTGTCATTGCAGATGATCACACGTAACCCGCCTCCACCCCTCTCGCCTCCCGTCTCCTCCAGGACAAAGCTAAACTTCCTTCTTCAGACCGGTCTCACCAACTCATCACCACCACCAGTGTCTAGACCCCGGGGATTTCATCGGAGCGGTTCTTTCCCTCCTGAATGATTATCCTGCAAACCGGGGCCTAATCGCCAAACACCATTACATTCTCTTGTTGTATTATCATGGCAATCATTTCATTCATATGACGTGTAAACAATAAATATGTATTCCTTACATCACGTCTCTCCGGTTTGAACTAAAGTACTCCGCCCTCTTCTAAACCCACTCTGATAAGGAGTCATTAGTTCATTTTTCTCAATGTAGTATGTCAGCCTTTCTGTTATCATTTTTTCCATAACTTTACACAAGTGTGATGTCAGAGCTATAGGTCTATAACTGCCTGGACTGGTTGGTCTATAACTGCCTGGACTGGTTGGTCTATAACTGCCTGGACTGATTGGATCTTTCCCAGGTTTTCTAATAGGAATAATGACAGATTCTATCCATATTATTGGCAGCTTCCCTTTCTCCCAAATCTTATTATACATCTCCAGCAGCTTTCCTAATGCAAAATCACTTGGGTCAACATTATATAGCATTTTCCCAGGAGCAGTCATTTTACACTTACCTAATGCTCTTCTCAACTCTTGAATAGAAAAAGGTATATTTACAACACTCTGCGACGAATGTCTTTCTTCATATACATTAGGATGTTCATCTAACACTTCCTGCCTCCTGATCTTCCCTTCTTCTGTCAAATGTTCTGAAGAATGAACTTTGACAAAATTCTTAGCTAGAATTTCTGCCTTCTCCATCCATAGCACCGGTGGCAGGTTCCCCTCCATTCTCTAACACTGGCAGGTTACTCTGCTGTCTTATTCCCCTCATCTTCTTAACCATTCCCCATACTTTATCTAATGGTGTAGTTCTCCCAATACTTGAACAGAAACCTCTCCAAATGTTACGGTTTGTGTAGGAAACAGGACCCAAATGCAGACTTAAGTGACAAAAATAATTCCTTTATTTCAAGGCTACAATATCTTAGACACAGAACAGAACACTCACCGCAGAATTACTCAAAACACAAGACGAACCAACAAAGACACACGGAAAAACCAGAACTTAAATACACCCAGGACTAATCAAACAAACACGAGACAGGTGAGGAGGTAGGAGAAAACACAGAGGCACCAGGTGAACACAATCGGGTAATCAGGGAGGGAAAACAGACAGGAAACGGGGGTGAACACTTTACAAAATAAAACAGGAAACCCAAAGATAGAAAAAGACAAGACAAAACAACAACACAGACAGATCCTATACACCAACACTCCCTTTTTGCTCTTTTAACAATGTTCCTTACCTGAGCCTGTGCCTTTTTATATTCTAATAAATTGTGTAATGCATGTGTCTTTCTCAGCTTTCCAAACAGCCTGATTTTGTTTCGGATTGCATCATTACATTCTTTGTTCCACCATCTTAACACATTTACTAAGTTTACCAGTTTTATTCCCAATAGTTTGATTAGCGCTTTTAATTATATTTGAAGTAAATTGCTCATTTATTTCATCAATACTTCCTGCCATATCAATCTGATGAAATTCATTATCACACAATTTAGCAAACATCTCCCAATTTGCTTTAGAAAAGGTCCATCTCATGATACCATCTAGCTCAACCACATTACTTATATCAAACTTGATTATAATCGGAAGATGATCACTCCCAAACTGTTATCTGCCAATACTTCCCAACTGCTACCAGAAGCTAATTCACTTGTTACAAGAGTTAGGTCGATCGCAGACTCTGTTCCATCTCTAAAATTGAG